TTGCCCCGTAACCTCGACGTCTCGGGCCAAAAAGGGATAAGGGCTACTCTATGCTCGACGACGATTATCGGGAGGGTTTTAATAATTAATTTCCTAACGACGTCGTTAAACTTCCCGTCGCGGGTAATGCTTAAAGATCAATTTAATCTCGCTACTCTGCTAAAGTTTGTCATCATCGAGTCGCTCGCGTGTTCTCAACTTTTCTTCCGACTTTGAGAACCCACCCATCCGGTCCATTGAGGTCACTCGACGTTGTAATCGCATTTCCGTAAAGATTTACCAGTCAAACGTTACGAGACTCTCCTCGTTTACTTTTACCCCGCATAAATATCACGCAGCGAGCTGCTCAAAACGGAATACTCTGTAGGAGCCGATGCTAATTTGGAAATAGTCGCGAGTCGAATAAATTGACAGCAGGCCCGAACGATCGAAATACCCGGGCAGCCGGTAAAAAACGATCGACAATAGATCATCGTTGGACGGAGTACCGTGTCGTTCGTAAAATAGGTTTTATCCCACGAACGCGTTTACTCGGTGAAATTCGCCTCTACTCCACTTATCGACACCCGACCAACCCCCCCCGTTCGATCGGTTTCTCGAACGGCCTCTGTCTCCGCGTATCGACCGCAACGACTAATGCTCTTTCCTGTTTCGCCGTTTCGAGCAGACAGCGCTCGGGGAAGAGCAGTCGTCCCGGTGGCAACCGGAAATCGACGCTCATTCGCAGACACGTGTCACGCGAAGGGAACGACGTCGTTCCGAGCGCGGTGAAGTTAGTCCGTCCCGAGGCGTTCCAGCCGTTGGAAAGAGAACGCAACAACGCGGGGAACGAGCTCGTTGTCGGGGCGGCGGTGCGATGGGGTGTCGGTGCCCTCTAGGTAAAGGGAGAACGGCGGGGAAATAATGCGAGTGTTGGCAGAGAGCGGTGCCCGAGAAAATTACAATTTGGGGGATGTAATTCCGTTCCGGAGAAATGGCCTGCACATACCGAGGCACCGGGGGTGGCGCGATGGGTGGTTGAACGTAGGGGAACGACTGGGTGGTGGAGTCGGTGGAAAGCCATAGGTGGCAGCGAACGGGACGGTGGGGGGATAACGAAGGTGGGAGAGATTTATCAACAGCTCGTTCCGCGTTAACTAGACGCCGGAAACTCGAAAGATATTGCATCAGCGAGGCGATGATAGTGCCACGACGACTGGCATTAAATTGCATCCGGTCGTTGCAGGAATTTAGCCGCCATTACGGCGGCTGTTGGCCACCGCCAGCCCCTTCCGTTGTCCTAGTGGCCTCGCGCATCCTTAGCTACCGGCTCTCGGTTTTCGTCGATCGCAACTGGCCCGGCTACGCTTCATCAATGATCGATACCGCGGCCCGGCGCTCTCGACGCGAGTTTCGCTTTCGCAAACATCGCACGAGAATCGTGAATTTCCAATCGGACCCTCGGCTCTTTAAATTTTTCAAGGAAGACCGATGTTGGAGCACCGCGAGCAAATCTCGCGTCTCGTAACGGCCAGCGGGCGCGTTCGATCGGACCTTTCGACGCTTCTCGTAAATGTTTCAGGTCGGAGAGCTCAACGCCCGCGGCGGGTATATCGCGTCAACTCGGAGGAACGGCGAACACGAGCCGGCAGAATAGATTTCGTGGTAAATTCATTCGCGCTCTTCTCCGCGTGATTAAAACCGTCCGCGGGAGCACGCTCGTGAAATTTCCATCGGTTCGGCGAATCGTTATTCCTCGGGAAAACGTAACGCGCGCGCCTTTGAACAACGGTACGTACGAGCACCCGTGAATCTTTTATCGCGTTCCATTTTCCCCGAGCCGCACGCCCGTCGGAGGAATACAGAAACTACGCCAGAAACGACCGGTGAAGTCTCGAATTTCACGCGACAATGCGACAGCCGTGGACTCGGTTAGAAACGTCACGATTCTTCCTCTTCTTTCCTCGGGGTTACCGGTTAATGTTGCAAGCATACCTGACCCCGGAATCGAATTCCAAGAATTCGACAGGCCCGATCGAAGAGTCACGTGCGTGAGAAGGCAGAGTAATTTATCTGTTCGGTGGATTTGATCGAGGGCGAGGGCGAGGGCGGCCCTCGAGGCGCGAGTGTTTCAACCTCCGCTCTCAGACAATTCCTTCTCTTCCAACGGGCAGAGTTACTCGCGAGCCTCGAACGCCTCCCCGCTGTCGAAGCAATCTCCTTACCTTGCAAACGTTTGCTCGAACCACCCTTCCATCGTTCCCCGACTCTGCTCGCGAAGCAACAACCTGTTATAGAGGCTCCGTAATTTGCATTTACACTTTAAACAAACACGGCAGACAATGACGATGTTAGTGCGGTCTCCGGGATCCTTCGTCGAGTTCCCGTACCAACGTCTGCGACTGTTATCCTTTCTCTCTAATTCTTACCGTTAATCGTGCCGCGTTACACCGACCGACCGACCGACCGACCGGGTTTTCTTTCAGCCAACAGCTTCCTCTACTAAAAAACCTCCCTTATCATTCTATCCCACGTTTCGGCAATAATTTTGCACATCCAGGATACATCGTACGCACCAGAGTCGATAACGTTACGCGAAAGATACACAAGATGTACAGATACAGAGAATTGCTTTGAGAACAAACTGTCCTCTGTGTGCCTTCGTTGCTTGCTCTTTTCACGGACTATCCCACTTTCGAGGAATTAATTGAACGCGAGAAAGGAGCTTCAAACTTAATCTTCCATAATGTCGACGAAACTAATTTGCCTTCCCCGTTCTCCGCTCAACATTCAGAAGTCGTACAAATTTTCAATTATACCGAAATTATAAAGCGTCTTTCTTTAATTTTATTTTAATAAAATGCGAGGATATCTGAATTACGAACGTATTGCCTCTGCCGCTAATTTCTTTCGACCATTCGGGTTCACGATTTCGATAAATCTCGTACCGGGCAGCGGGCCAACAGGCGACCGGAACAGCGAATTTTCAACAAACTCCTAGCTACGTCCGTTCTCGGGTAAAACTAATTACGATATCGGTGGTAACCGAACGAACGACTGTCCCCCTTGAACATCCCCGGAAACCGAGTACTAATTATACCGGAGAGACGGCGCGGCCCAAATACCGCGTGCGTGGAAACGTCCGGGATGACGTAGCGCGACGCCAGGTTTCGCGTGGCACGTGTGCCACTAATTCGTATTTAAAGCTTTATCGGCCGCGCCAGTACACCGAGCAACAATTTCACGGTTCACGGAATCCATCTGACAGCCGCTTCCACCATCGACTCGACCGCCTCCCGTCCCCGCCGAGATTCGGGCTTCCGCCATCCCTTCGGCTGGCGGAGAAGCAACCTTACCTAGAGCAGACAGAAAACTGCAACCGTGTCGCGTCACTCGAGCACCGTGCAAGTAATTTAACTGGCAAAGTACTCGGTAACAGTCCCGGGACTACGTAAACAAAGCGGTTGGTTAATTAATCAGTCCCCGGCCGGGGCACACTGACGGCTCCCGAATAGATTCCAGATTAATTATCCCCTATTACTTTGAGGCTGTTGGTCCATCGCTGTGTCAGAAAACTTTCACCGCGCCCGATCAATTTTTCCCCCCCCCGGACGATCCAAAGAAACTCGTTGCATTTTTCGCGTGACCAACGGTACGGAACCGATCATCGAAATTACGCACCGAGGATTAAACTCGATTTCCTGCCAAAGAAGACCACTTTTTCGACCGATAATAGCGTCGGGCAAGACTACTTGCACGCCATGTTAGCTTCTCATTTCCGTTCGAGGGACAGGAAGCGTGTTCCTACGATAGGGATATCTCCAAAGTGGCTTTGAGCTACGAGTCGACGTTGACCCGACTTTAGTTTGCCCGTAACTCGATCGAGAGCTGTTTCGAGAGTCAGGTTTAGTTCCAGAGAGATGGGTTACTCTAGAGTTGCGGGTCACGGAGTCCTATATCAATACGCAAAGGAACGGAAAAGCTTCGATCCCGTTTTTCCCTCTTTTCGAATTCGGTCGTTTGATTAGCGCGGACAGTTCTACGGTAATGATTCGTAAGTTGAATCTGATTTTTATCCCTCCCAGCTAGGCGAGGCGTGAAAGACCAGCGTCGAATTTCGCCTGTTCGAAAGATGAACGCGTCGATCGATCACGGAAGTTGTTTCACGGATCTTTAGCCTCTTACCAAACCTTTTCGCATTAGGGTAATACAAAGAGATCGAAAGAAGCATTTTTCATCCGGGGAGTGTTTTTCTCTCGGTCGACGTTAATTCACACCGTCCACAGTCCCTTCGGCCTGGTTGTTAGATTACTCCATCCCCCGGCTGCCGTTACCCCCAACCACCGGGAGCGTGGCTGGGGCAGTGCCTACTTTGTTCCCTTCCGAGCTGGATGCAATTTTAATCTCGAATTCCGAGAAAATTACCTTGCCGTCAGAGCCGTTTAAGGGGCTACTAGGTGAGATTGCCCCTGCTACCTGTCATGCCGCTTGACATAGGTATACTATATTATGTAGCGAGATCGGCTTCTCTCGAAACTATTTTCGTTTCGCCTAATTTCACGCCCGTTATCGTTTATCGTGCCGCCAGGGTTAGCTAGCTAGCTGGCGAACGCGCCACCGTTCTCGAGAACGACTATCTATAGTATTCGGAGCTTGTTCATCGATATTAATTGCGTTGGCCCGAGAATAAACGCCGTGAACGTTTTTCGCGTCGGGAAAATTAAGATACATACCTGACCCCCCGCCAGTCTCCATCCGCGAACGAAAGCTGACGAAACAAGAAAGAATTGTACTGCGGTTAATAATAATAGTAACAATAACGACTTTATTGCCACATACATAAATAGATGGACATGGCCGATGTACAGCGTACAAGCTGGATCACAACATGATCCTTTACAATAACTACACACGCTTCTTCCAATATCGTAAAACACACTCCAAAATAAACCTTCTTCTAATCGCGACGACTCTAACCGCCGCGGCGCATCGAAAACCGAACGAATGGACGTCGTTTCCAGAAACTATATCCGAGGTATAATAAATTATCCCGTAAAAGGTCACTAGAGCATTTGGCTACCCCGTCGCTACATTTCTGGTCTTTGTTTGGCGCGAATAAAACGAAAGGGAACGCGAAAAGCCAATTATTTCCGCCTCGAGTACAGTTGTCTCAGCAAGAAGCATATAGTATACTTGTACGTGGACGCTGTTGCTCGATTGGTTCGTTTGAATTGTTCGGCTCGGTAACGCGCTCTCGTTTCTTTGTTCTTCGGGCTTAAAGGAACTGCAAATCGAACGTTTGCGCAAAGAAACCAGGGGCGGGGGAAACGACTCGGTCTAAAGAGCAGGAACAGACAGGAACGAGGCGATGATTCAATTATCATCCGTTGCCTATCGACGATCGGGCACTTTTATTGATATACAAGATATACATCACGGAATAGCGCTGTCGACAATGCTAAGTACACCTATATGCAGCTTCGCCAGAGTTTCGAGCATACATCGTACAGTTCCTCGATTAGGTTCGGCGCTCTAAACGAGCACCGTCCCGTCGCGTTGCTTCGGAAAGGAAACACCAGCGAAAAGCGAAAGGCCTCGGGCGATCTCGGGACTTCTTGGACTACTGTACACCGTCACCTGCTCGAATATCTACGACTTTCCCGCGACACGGTTCCTCGTCAGTTCGCCGCGGTCAGGATTCGTCCTTTATCGTTGCCGCGTTCCGACGAAAAACTCGCCCTCGAACCACCTGATCCTCGAGTATCTGTCCGTTCGCGTCCGAGTCGAAACTCGACGTATTAGCAAATTGATTTGTCAGCTTGACACGTTCCCTCGGACCTGGCGAGAAACAGTTTCCCGTTAGCACAGACACACAACTGATAGATGGTCGTGTCTCTTTGACTCTGATGGGAAGACGTCCTAGAAGAGTGTTGCTGTTGTTGCTGCTGCTGCTGTTGCTGCTGCTGTTGCTGTTGCTGTTGCTGTTGCTGTTGCTGCTGTTGCTGCTGCTGATCTCTCGAGGAATGTACCTGACTCGGATTCGCGGTTTTCAAGCCCTTCATGAACACCGTCTTGGCGTCCAGCCTGACGGCACCGTGGACGCTTTGGAGCTTCAGATCGGTCAGACAGGACGCTGATATCTCGTTGGCCCAGGACTCGATCACCACTCGCTGAGGAGCGCTGATCTTCAGGGATCTGGTCGCCGACTCGAGCCTGTTGGCACAGAACGTTCCGGTTAGATCTCGTCTCGATCAACGGAAGATTCTTTACCACCGTAAAGGGTTTGCTAGTTTCCCGGCCCCCCAATTACCGAGCTCACGAGCAAATAATACAGTCCGGATAACTTGCGTGCAATATCGTACGACAAAATAATACGGCATTCGGTCGACTGCAACGTCAGACTCGCAATAATCGATCCTCCTTTCTTAGAAGTGGTGAAGCGGCATCTTCGATCATGCCTTTCTTCCAATACGCTCTCAACCCCCATCCCCCGTCGACGACCTATTGCTTGCAGCTTCGCCACCGCACGCAGGAATCCCCGGTATTTCATATCTGGCATAAATCCAATCCTATGAATATAATTTTCTGCGCGAGCAAAGTTTTATTGTAATCGTAAATCCGTCTGTAAATTGCTCGACACTATCAATAACCGCGGGACTAGCGCAGCGCTTCATTCCTTTCGAACCGCCTCTCGTTCTCCCCTGCTTTCGATTGCTCCTATCGCGATACATCGCTGCAATTGTCAATTCCGCTGATACTTTGAAGACGTTTCCCTCGAGAGCACGCTAACATTTCGCCCGATATTTTTTTTGTTCGAGACGGGAGATTGAACGTTCGGATGGACTGGCGATAAGATGGGAATAAGTCTGTTATTGGTTTCGAGTGGTTGGTAAATTTAGACTGTAACTTGGGATTACGCGGAGCATGCAATTACCGATAACGCTTTATACTCGATACGTTTAGACGCGAATAGATATATGTATCTTCGGATATGTTGGTTTTTTTTATCAACGCGTGGAAATAATGGCCTTACCAATGGAAAACTTTACAGGAAAGGATATCCGGAATCGGACGACGAACTTTGGCAAATCCATAAATCAAATACATTTATGCCATCGCATATTCACTCGTTGATCCGTGATATTTCTTTCGCTTTTGCGATTATCCGCTAACATAAACCCTGTATTTCTTTAGCGTTATACTATCGTTAAGAGCTACTCGCGAGGATGTAATTTCTATAATAATAGTATGTATAAAAAAATGAAATAACGTCGTCGAAGAAAGCGATTAGTAGCTAGTCTACTTTTATACCGAGTAAAATTCTATATGCATCGCGCATTTTCAATTCTAAAATTTATTTCTAGACATGTTGTTGGTATCGAATTAACTTATGCCGGGTTCTATCACTCGTTGCTATTTGTTCTCTCGATCGTCGACTAAAAATGCAACGGAAGTTAGCCGAGCCGGGGTTGAATCTACTTTTAGACGACACGGAAATAAATACGGAACATCCACCGACGGTAGGTTATGCTTGGGCTATGGGTGTGCACGCTACAATATTGATGCACGGTGAAATATTCAGTTCATCATTTCGGGCACAGGGGTAAAAGAAAGAAAATGTTTCTTCTTGTTTGCGATTACCTGAGACCACGGCCCGATTCCCCTCTGACCAGAGGCGTTTGAACGCTGCCCTGGAAAACAGCACCTCCGTCGCCAGTTACCCTCAACATTTCCGCTCCCACCACCACTTGTTCCCTGTCCGCCGAGAAGAGAATTCCTCCTCGAGGGTCAGTTATTCGGAAGCCTCTCGACACACAGTCCACACGATCTTCGCCTGGAAACGGACAAAAGACACCCATCCAGCATTTTCCTTCGGGACGGCCGCACTTGACACGGAAAAATGAAATTCTTCGACGAAACACGAGGCAATCGTGTTCGGTACGAACGACAATCGAAGTACGCGTCGCGGAGAATTCAAAAGGGACGTCGCGCGACTATAGCTGGGACCGAAGAAAGGACGAACTTGTTCCACGAACGAGACTCTCTGTCTTATTCCAGCGGTTTCCAGACACCTAGAGTGGCAGTAAACTCATTGCATCATCTTTCTCCTATATTATATCGTCGCGATAGATCTCCCAAGCCGGTTCTTTCTTCGATAAACGTCGGTATCGATCGATTCGAAATCGATGCACGGTGACCGCTGGATAGCGATACGTCGTCGGAATCAATTCCTCGAGTCGTTATACATTTCGGTGGAAGGTGAAGCGGTACGAAACGAGAATGCATAAACGTCTCTGATACTCTCTAAGGCAGAGGGATTTTGCCAAGGACAAAGCTCGCTGCCTCGCGTTGTATTTTTTTTCCAGAGCAAAAGGACGAGTTGAACGAGTTCCATTGTTTTGGCGTATCTATCTCAGAGACCGTTTAAAATACTGATTGTCGTCGACAGTAATACATTGTACCGGAGTCTTTATCTCGGAGATTGTTGCGCGATTTGGTTTCATGGTTGTAAAACCGATGCGACCGAAATGTTCGTGTCCATTAACAGACACACCAAACGGCACGCTGCCGTATGTTATCGATATTCGAATTCCTCCTTTTGTTTAGCACAAGGACGTAGGGGAAATACGCGGTTACGTTGAAAAAAAATGCTCGTTCACCTTGAGAGATTTGAAAGCACAGGAACCTTGAGGAAAGTAATTGTTGCGTCAACGTGTATGGGGGTCCCGCTTTGTCCTTGACAGAATTTTCACATTTTTAGGAACAATAGAGACGTTTAGAACTTTCTTTTTTGCCGTAATATTGTCCAAAGTATATTTTTTTTCAGAGCCGTGGAAACCGAATCTCGGAATACGTTTAATTCGAGGAGACAATGAATTTATCGACTTTCAGCTTTGTGTAAAAATTAGGTCACGTATAAAACGTAGTAGGAAAATCTATTTTCCACTACCTATAGACATTCAACGATTTAAATTATTCTCGACGCCTTGTTGCTATTCTAGCGCTTTACGGTATCGATTTTAAAACGAATAATTAAGGATAACTAATCGGTGATTTAAGCATGCATTGCTATTCTTTATAAATTTCAAGAAACGACCTACTTGCTCGAGTCGCGTCTTGGAACGAATTAAACCAAGCGCGCGAAAGAAACATAAAGTGGATTACGTCGATCAAAATTTTTATCCGGATAAAATTGCAAGCGACCCGAAAAGCCGGGGAACCGCGACAGGATCAGAACATGGGAAACGAGTTTACGCGCCGAATATAGGATCGCGAAAGTTTGTCCGTTTCTCCAAAAAATATAGTCGTTCTCACCGACTGTCAGTCGCGCGAGTAGTCGGCCATCGTGCGACCTGGCCGACGCGGTGAAGTTGCTCCACGACTCGAGGAACAGATTCTTTCCTCGCCTGGATCTGAGGCTAGAGGCCACGAGGGCATCGAGAACGGCGGCCTGACCTCTGAGCTCGATCCCTCCGGGCACCACCTTCAGGGAGCCGATTCCCTCCTGAAAGAAGAGGAAATGACTGTCAGGAAATAAACGAAGCTTTCTGTCGAGGCATTCTGGGTCGACGTCCCCGCGATCGTCGATGAAAATGGAACCGTAGGCCTTGGTATTAAAATTCGGTCGCTGCCGTTTCTGACTCCGCTTCCGTTTCCTTTCTCCGACTTTTTCTCGACCCTCCGATTTTCATCCGCATTTTCATGGGTTACATCGCCAGAGATACAGACTCGAATAATATCTATGACCAAGGCCTGGAAAAATCTATACGCGCAATTATGCGCGATTATTCGATCTTCGTTCCAAGAATTTTATTTAAAAAATTAGTCAGATTGGATTTGACGGAACGTGCGATGCGTGGGGAAAACATTGTGTCGCGATAATCGTTCGCAGATAGCCGTACGGATCTGAAGAGCTTTTCAGCGAAAGAGGTATGTTCCAAGTGCTTGTCACCATCTCGACGTAGACGTTTGACGCTTTTATTTACGCGTACGTTTTGTTTGCTCGAACGGCGGACCCAATTGATTCGGAAGAACGTATTGAAAATGCAGGCACGAGTGCTCGGAACAGAGGCGTAAAGCGCACGGTCCGACGGCGCATCCGTGCTTATTTTGAGACGAGTGGCACGCGCTTATGGCATATCTTCCGAAACGTAATAACTATGGAATTCGAAATTTACCGAGGCGCGATTAAACGAACGTTCTTTATCGTTGGGCGGGGATCGGGAACGAGCTCCCGCAGTTTGAAGCATCGTGTATATTTTGATGTAGTTTCGCGACCACCATGATTCAACCGGTACGAAATTAAATACCACCGGCCGACATTATTACCGCTTCAGACGGTTGAATAATAAATGCAACGATGAGCTAGCTAGGCGGGCCGGGTTGTACGCGTCCCTAGCTTGAAATATCTCTCGCATAATATTGGAACTGTGGCGTAGGCAAAATTTTATTTCGACGTCTTGTTCGCCTAGCAGCAGCTCAGGGATAGGTAGGTTCGAGTGTATCGAGCGGAACGAGCGAGCGAACGCGCCGAGCGAAACCGTCGGCGTCGCGCGGAGACGAACGGAGAATCGCGCTATAAAGAAGACACATTGCGCGTTCTCTCGTATTCGTCTCATAAACTTCGGGTATTCTTCCGCGCGGCAGACTTATCCCGACCACGGAGGAACGCAATTCCGCTCGTGAAATTCAATTTCGCGTTACATTAATTGCGTCTCGACGCGAGCCTCGCGTCTCCTCCCGCGTCTCCGTTCCTCTTTTCCTTTTTTTCACTTGCTCCCTCTCGCGGAGCAGCTATCCGGCCTTGATCGACCATTCACTTTTTCCTAGGGGGCCCTTCCTCCCGAACCTTCGGATAAACGTCGATAACGCGTAGTAATTGCATTTCAAGCGACTTGGAGCTTATCGCCTTTGGTACGGGTAACAGAACGGAGGAGATCGGGGGTTCGACCTTAAAACTGCTCCCTCGAAAAAATGCTTCCTTCCCTTCGGCGCGCGACCGTACCCGGTCCCGTCTACATTGGTTTCCGATGATTAGCCACTCGATTGGAACCAATTGCCACGCATATACTGTCCCGTCCCGCCCGCGCCGCGTATTATTACGATTCTTCGAAACGAAATGTTGCAGTTGGGTAGACGCCAGTACACCGGCTTACCCAAGTCGGACCGAACAACTGCCTTTACGATTTTCTGGCTTTCCGGCGAAACGTATTGCGCTCGTACCGCGAGACGCTTGCAAACGATCGAGTTAAGTAGTCGATTAATTTTACCACGTAATTCCACTACGACCGTTCGCCGATACAACGCCAAGAGCTGTCGCGGCGTCCACGCTCTTTTCGAATATTATTTTTAATCCTGACTACTGGAAAGCGGAGCAATCGTAGAATCGTTCGATATTTCGAACCCTCGATTCTTGATTTCGCCCTGGAAATTGAAACAATCGCAGCCATTATCAGAAAAGGCCGGCGTGTTCCAGTTCTCTGGTGGCCGGCGCTCTTGATCCTTGTTTAAATTCCCGCAGCCGGAAGTGCTGGCACTGGTCCGGATGCGCGCAGCTGCGACCGCGGTTACTTTCCATCGCCGCCGCCACTCGATTAGTCAAATCGTTTGGAAAACGATACGATCTCTTTGCTCTGTACTTAACCGTAATCGTAAACCCCAATGGCGCCGAGAGGGTCATTGCCGCGGCTGCTTTCCCGAATCGTCTTACGGTCGTAGGGCAGATCGCCGGAGGAATCGGTGGATCGATGGCGGCAAAAACCGAGAGGTCGCCGCGTTAAACTTTCAACCTCTCGCGGAGAAAGTTCGACGACGAAGTTTCGACCGATCGTCGATCGCCTCCTTCGTTATTTGATTTCGTGAGATACGCGGTTCGCGTATTTAGTTTTTATTTATTTATTTATTCAGCAGCCGTGCCTTCAGCTAGGAAAAGTTTCAAACGTTAGAGACAGCACGATAGGGCGGGGGCGTGATTTACGCGAAGAAATAACGCGATAAAAAGGAGTAATGCTCGGAGTATCCTAAGTATCATAGGTGGGTTCGATGGTGAGCTAACTTCCGAGATAATGCGACAGAGTCGGAGGACGCGAGCTTTCTTAGAATCGAAACAGATATGTATGTAGGTCGAGCTCGGAAACGGAACCACCGATATCCGGGCTTTTTAAAACCTGAAAACGTTTACTTTCGGATCCTATTTTTATCCGATTTTCCTAAACCGTTTCGCCTTAATTCGATTTTCCCGTTGCATCCAAGTTTCCGTCGGGTAAGACTTTGTAAATTATGCGACCCTAAATTAGCGAGGGCAGTTCGTAATGGAGCTGCCCGATAACGATTTCACTTTATATAGAATAATAAAATTGCTAAGAACCATTGAATGGTCGTTGATCGATATCGAATTAACTTGCAATTTTATCGCAACACGCGACCGGATGAAATATGAGGGAACCTTAGTGACCTGGTTCGTCGAATAAAATCTGCTGACATACGTAATCGACTGTAATTATTGTTGCGAGCGTATATGGATGTAGGGCCAACTCTGTGCACGAGTGGAAGATACCTGATCCTTGTCGACCAATAAAATATTTCATTTTGTTTTTATTTCAAGCTGATTTCTACATCGACAACAATTCGAGAAAATTATTTATAACTCGCGTCAATGAAGTCGTTGATACTGCCCATCTATAAATGTCCAGTTGGCCAATTAGCCTGAATCTGTGCATAACTCGGAACCTATTCGATACTATTTTCATGGTAACAAACCTAAACGAGAAGAAGCGTTCAGTTCAGGAGAAAAGAATGCAGCACCGACACGTTCCTGATTATGATCTCGACTCCCATCAGCAAAGAAAGAAATGGAGTTGAGTGGTTTAGAGTTCCAGTGGTCCATAAAAGTGATATTGGGCTTAGGAGAGTTTTTAATGAGAGCTCCAAGCTCGATATTCAGATTAGCTCTGGAGCATAAAACCCTATAATTCACGGTATAGAGAAGAAAGTTAGTTTTCAAGCCTGAGAAAGTCTTTAAGGGGAAGAAGCGAATTAATTCGAGATGGAATCATAGAAAGTATAATATTTTAATATATTTCGATTCTGCGATGAATTTGTTCGAGGGAATAGTTTCTGTTCTTACACATTTGTCGCTGATGTTGCTTTTAATATATTTAGTTCAAGATGGATCTTGCTACTCGTCTAAATGTTATTCGCGAGAGAAAATATTCGTTCGGCGTGCAACATTCACACCAAAAAGATAAAAGAAACACTCTGCAAGTTTTAACAGGTTCGAGAGAAAGAAAGAATATCATTATTAAAACGAAAGATGATTTCAATTCGTCTTTGTACCGAGAAAGTTTCATTATTTTTTAAATATACCTTGCAAAATTATTCCACGAACGTGCTAAAAACCTGGACAATGTTTTGCAGTTATTCAAGTTGCAAGATTCATTCGATTCGACACAATGCATATTTGATAGCATCTCTTTGTATATGTATTTATATACAGAAAATCCTCTAGTCGCCTGGCCGTTAATACCGCACGGCGGCAGGCTCGGTACGCTTCGACGCAACGATAATTGAATCAATTTTCATATAGCCAATTTTAAAGTCTCCGCATTTTTCAATATCAACCAATAAAGAAGACAAATGGCGCTATATTTTCATTTTTTTCACTGATTGTCTAATTTGTTTTCGTTATTTAAAACCCGAAACCTTTTAGATCAATTTTTTTGAAGAATGATTTGAAAGCATTATTTTTTTCTACCAGCCCTTGGAAGCTTTCGATAAAGGGAAAGCTTTACAAACGTTGACACCTTTTGTTATTTATAAACCGTAAAATTCTGTATTTTTCGACTCATATTTGCAATGTGCTTTTGCACGGTTCTCGACGAGAACAAAGTATTGTATAACTGCCTCTTTGCTTCATTATTCCCGCAAGCTCAATTGAAACGGTGCATTCTTCGATAAAAATACCTTCGATGAAGGGTTTTCGACTTTTAGCAATTTCCAAAGATTTAATACTTACGATAGAAGCGGTTTGCTTTTCCTGCTCGAATTGTAATTCAAGCATTCCACGTTTTCATTTGAATTTAATAAACATACATATTCGTACATTCATTCGGTTTGTAAGCAACTGCTCGTATAGTACTCCCTTTTGACAAAAGTCAGACCACGGATGAAAATGATCAGGGAAGATTACGAATGGAAAAAATATCCAATACGTTCGAACAGTGAGTTGTAATTAAGTCGTACGTCAAGTAGACGACTAAGACGAGATTCAAATGTCATACGTTAAACGTTAATTCGAATTCGCAAGTTTGCGACGGAGCAGCGGAGTAAATTCCAGCCGTCAATCACAGTGGCGAAAATTATCAAGCAGGCGTCCGACAGGCGATCGATTCCAACGTGAATTTTCGGTCATCGTCGAACTATATCGGATGGGTTACGTCAACGATCGGAATCAAGTTCTATCGGTTCGGTTCCAAAGCGTCCCTTCGCAACGACGCATCCCGCGTT